GATGTATTTATAACCTACTGGGTTTTCCCCTTTAATCTCTCTCTTTCCTCCCTTACTGCTCCCCCCCTTTTTAGTAGCTCTAAGCAAGAATGGTGCTAAGAACCTTCATAAAGATTTATTCAGGTCCAGACAAGAACCAACTCTCTGCACTCTGCCAAGACAGGAGACCAAAACACCACACATGACCTCTTCTTTCTACCCAGGTGGCAGAACACACCATCCATCAGATCCAAAGCAGTGTGGCCTCTCCTGCAAAGATGTCAGTGTCTGTCATTTTACAATTACAGAACCAATTTAATTGTGGTTGGAGCTCAACTAAGTCACGACCCGATCCTGCAGACTGAATGCTGCTTACAATCCCCAAGCGATACGTACCTAACAGCACTTGTGTTTCAGAGGTATTTTTGTGGCTTTGCTCTACAGCAACCTGACAGTTGAATTTAACGTTGCTTCTGTCTGAGCTGAATTCAAGGTGTTGACTTAAAGCTGTAAGCACTGCCAGCTCTAGGATGTTACTACGTCAAAGACCTAATTCTCTGTGATCCATCTCACCAGTATCTACATTTTTTTCCTGACAAATTCTCTATTTAAACCTCTAATGACATAGGAAAGTATATTCTCTATAGAAGGATGAGCTGTGAATTCACTAGTGTGCTATTTACTAGAGCAGATACCTACCCGAGCTCTGCTGGTTTTGATGTCTGCAAACCCTTAGAAAGCCTTTCCTGCTTGTTACTGGTACGTAGTTCATCTAAATTGACCTTCTCAGTTATCTAAGTCTTGCCTCCTCCTTTTGACAATGGCACTGAAAGGGAAAAGATTGCATTTAATTCCCTGCACTGCTCCAATCCTCTGACATCTAGACTTTGCTACATTTAGAGAAAGGGAGGGGAAAAAAAAATAAAGTAAAAATGATCATGTAGCTACACTAGCCAGGATAAGTCCAAATGTCCTGTTTAGTTTCAGAAGACTGTGACCTCAAGGTCAAGGCTGGACTAAAGCAAACGGCTCCACCGTACACCCATGGTAGAGGCAGCTACAGCACCAGCAAGCAGCACAGCTCCTTTCAGGAGACGGTGAAGTCTGGTGCTGCTGGCGAGGCAAGTCAAAAGCTTAAGATTCCATCTAGGTTAATTACCATCTTCCTGCAGGCTCAGAGCAGCTTATGAGAATACAACAGTGTGGCAGAATCCTCCTCTTACACTTCCACCTACAGAAATTCATCCCTTCCTGACCTGTCCCTATCTTCCTCCTCTCACACACCAGAGATTTAGCAGAATCTAGACATTAAAAGATAAACCATAAAACAGAGCACAGACCGTGTTGTGAACTGTTCTACTTGCACAAGAAAACTCTGTGCCCAGCTGTGACCAGGCACCCTCTCCAGCCATCGATCAGGCGACACGCAGCTCATGTCTGTCTGCTCCAGGCACTTGAGACACATGACAAAAGACCGAAGGAAAAGGGTTGGCTGCCACTGTCCATTCCAGTCACATCCAATGCTATTTACCCTGTGCCCTCTGATGAGGCGGTCACAAGTAAAGCTGAAAATGGATTACAGCAACAGCTTCTGCCTCATTCCATGATCAAGTAACTTCCTGCGTTCTCCTACTTCATGGGACAAATGAACATAATAAATAACATCCAAAGCTGCTCACTTCTGAAGCATCCTTCCACTGAAATCATGGAAATGTTCCATCCCTTCACACCATTAAAAAAAACCCCAAACCCTCAAACCAGCAGTGACAAAGCAGTGAGACCATCATAGTCCTACCCCACACTATAAAGACAACGACTAGTTCCAGTGCCAGACTCCTTTGCTGCTGCAGTTGAACACAGGGCTCCTGGTGGCAAACTAGACATGATTAAGCTGTTTCATTGCCACTCACAAGTTGCTCTGAAGTCTTAAACCCCAATTATGCATTTAGTTTCTCTGAAACTCTGGGCTGGAGTCAGTGCTGTAATTGTTAAACAAAGGCTGAAAGTTTATTTTCTGAGTTTCACAGGTCTCTGGCCACAGATTAGCATTTAGTAGCAAGGAGACTTAACCTGGAAAATGTCAAGACAGCGAAAAGCACTGTGCATATAACTATTTCATGCTGATACATGAGGCAGCTTGTAAGCAGGCCAAGTTATAAAGCTTCAAAAAAAAATTTTTACCTTTTCCAAAATAAACAACCCCCAAAATTGAAGTGCTTCAGGCTAGAAAGGAAACTAGCCAGGTTGTTTATAACATACTGCAGGAATTCTGCTCGGGGCAAACCAGCTGCGAAGAAAATGAAAGCAGAGCTCAGGAGAGAGGAGGTGATTTCTGTCTTTGTAGAAGAAGTTACTACAGCAGCCTGATACAGAACAGATCCAAGCTCCTCGCTCACCTCGGTAGTAAGAACAAAGCTCCTCCCCATTATACAGCACTCAGGTTTGTAGAGCTGTGAGAAGCATCAGGAACGAGGAGGCTGAAAAGTTACAGACCTGCTGTGTTTGCACAGCAAGCCCAAGGCAGATCTGGAAGGACCACCACAGCCATCCAGTGACCTACTTGCCGCAGCTCTGAAGAACTCGGATACACAGGGTACAAAATGTGCAGGATGCAAGCACTGTAGTAAACCGATCATGCTACACCTGAGGCTGCAAGAAAAAAAAAAAAAGTCTGTCCAGCAAACAGCCATCAGCACTGTGCCCGGCTCATGATTACCCAAGTTTCACATGTTTTAACACCTTTAAGAGCTAGTTTTGTGCGAAACACCACACTGCTCTGTTTTTGTAATCGATTCGCAATAGCTACACGAATTTATCCCCCATATGACCCTGAAGTCTTATTTAGGATGATCTCCTCTATAGGTGAAAGGGGTCTTTGAATTTCACGGGCCATTTAATCTTCTAGCCTTCACCAGAACTATTTAGGCTGCTGGTGAACTAGAAATATAGACCTTATGAAACGGAAACAGATTTAATGGTAAAGCATTAGGAACTTTCACACAGTTCACTGAACACCCAAGAGCAGACAGCTCATAGTAACTACTTACCTTAGACAGGAATAGGGACAAAAAGAGCTCATTTTATTAGTGGTCCAGCCCGTTTCAGGCAATAGCTCCTTCCAAAGTGCGGCTGTGCCACCAGCTCCCATGTTCTGTTACTCCAGTTTATTTTAGGACCTGGGGGAATCAATCTAAAGGCCTTTTCATTTACAGCGGGCAATGCTCACAATGACCTACCGACCATTACAGCAATTGCTGCCCGGCTGGAGAGAGATGAGAGGAGTATCTGATTCAGGTCTAGGTCTTTTCCTGAGGCTCTGGAAAACACGTGTGTTAGGAGAGGCAAATGATAAGCTTGGTAAGAGAAGGAGGACAACAGCACATTGTGAACATCTAAAGGAACATATCTCCCAAAAAGACCACCCACAGGGTGTGTGCTTTTTTGGAAGGTGCCTCTAAGCTTTCCCACTCCCTTACGGAATGCCTGAAGCACTTTTTGGGTGGTAGCTGAACTATACAGCCTTTCTGTTTACAAATGTATTTCAGTTTAGATCTATACTCACCTCTGACCTCTAAACCATTTGATTCCTTATTTTTGTTAGCAATGGTTTGCTTGAGGAGGCAAAAGCACAAAGGTAAAGCTAGAGAAATGGGTACATACGATAAACAAGTCAACCACGCTGACACTGTACTCTGGGCAGGTCTCTCCACCTCCCAATTAATCCAGGCTCCAAAGTGGTAACAGGGATTTAGTTTTCATAAATACTTAGAAACACAATTCAAGGGGAATACTGGGAAGCCCTCTTTTCCACTACTTTCTCCCAGATGTATAAATGAGCTCTTTATTATAAATCTTCTAGCCCTGGTTTAAATCTAAGATATCACCAGTGGGGAGGGGAGAGCACGCAGGTAGCAGAGCAAGCACAAATATTCTCAAGAGACTACCTCTCCTCCAGTTTCTGAATATCAAATCGCATCGTTATACAGCACATTGCCAGTTCTCAATATATCCTTCTCGACACATGCCTCAAGACTCCGAGTCTGGACTCTACATGAAAGTCTCCCACAAAGGCGAGGCAAGTATTTTCCATTTGGCAGTTTAACAGTACAATAAATCAATAAGAAACAAGAGTAGCTATTAAAAACTGTATTTCCCCCCCTCCAACAGTTACATTTTTTAGTGAAAAGATAAAACCACACAAACAATTCACTTTTCTCCTTGAAAAGAATTAACAGCTCAGAAATGCCATGGATACACATGGAGGATGCACGTTAGCTTGACAATGACAGGCCACCACGGTCCAGCCCATTCATTCCAGCCAGCAGCCAGACACACACATATCCCCTTAAATTAACCCTTTAAGGGCTGCCCCCCCTTTGCACCAAAGTTAAAATTAAAGTGCCTCTTAGGCAACCAGGTCAAAATTTAAAGAATCTTTTGAGCTTATTCCTGGTTTATTTTAATAAAGAAATCCCTTATCCAGCCCCAACAGGGCTAAAAGATTTACTTTCACATTGAACTTTACAAAGCTGCAACTGAATGAAAAGGATCTTTTTCACAAATAGACGTATGGTTGTTCTCATTACACAGTATTTGCTCAAGATAACTTCCTTCCTTGTGCTCACAAGTCCATTCTTCTTTCTACATACATTCCACGGTTTCTCTCAAGCTTTTTCCCCATTTTGAAACCATAACAGCATCCTCTCACCATAATTTCTTGCCAGGCAAACAGTCACGTTGTCACAGTCAGAAAGGAACCAGGAACAGGTGAAGGGAGTTCTGCTTTAATAGATTTCAAAACATCTTAAAGTCAGTGCAACCCACAGGAAAATCCAGAAGTATCATAAAAATGACCTGCACAGATGGTAGAGAACGAAGCGCTAGGGTTTAGGCAGCAGTGCTAGAACTCTTATGTGCAGATTCCTGAACAGTCAGTGCACTTCAGGCATTTCGCTGCGGGTTTTTCAGTTTGTAAATGTGCGTGTGTGCATTGTAAGGTCCTGCAACTACTAACGGAGCAAACCCCAGAGTGTCACCTCTCCACTCACTCCTGGACAGCTTAACGCTGTGCTACTGCCTCTTGGAACAGTGCCTAAAGAAAATGGTATTATCTTCGGATCCAGATAATTTCCATGTCACCAAACAGTTGCAAGGAGCCAAACCACATACAATTTTTCAAGAGACTAGAAACTTAGTTTATTAAAGCCCAGTGCAAGTTGGATTTAAGTTAACGATCATTAATTTTTCCTTATGTGAGAGCTAGCCTTGTGCAGCAATTAAAGGGTTAAAGTGGAACTATATGTAGTATTTTAAACACGTTCACATATTCTCTATACAAATTTGGCAAATTCACGTCACAGCCATAGATCTCATTGTTGCAATTCCTGCAAAATATCTACAGCTCCTCTGTCAGAAGCAAAGAGAGAAGCCACCTGAGCAGCCAGGTCTGCCGGGAGCTCGCAGCACAGCCCCCGCAGCGGCACAGAGCGGCTGGCGATCTCCGCGTTCCAGCTTACACAGGTAGGCTTACTGGACTAAATATGCTTTCGACACATGCTCCCAAAAGAGCTCGAGGCCACAGAGCAGATGAGAATGGAAAAACTGATTGCATCAGAAACACTGCAGCCAATAGGAAATCAAAAACATGATTCAAAGCCGATCAAAAAACCAAAAACAACAAAAAAAAGCAAGCACTTATATGTGTGTTGATGTAATAAATATCGCAAAGCACATTTGTCTTTTCCCCCAAGTCAGTTAAGTATAAAGAAATAACCAATGCACCAAAACATCAGCTTTCTGCAATGAAAATGTCAAAGTCAGCAAAATACCTGCAAGCCAACCGAAGAGAAAGCATTTGCATTGTCAACCAACCACAAGTTGCTTCCAGTTCTACGCAGCCAAATCAAACCCTCTTCAAATTCACAAGTTTGACCTAAATAAGCACCACAGCATGAAAAGCTTCTTTAGAAGTAGGATGTCAAGAGACTTTCTTTAAAATACAAAATAAAATGCGAGATAAAAGGTTGTCATTGGTCAAGTTTGAAAAATTGTCTTCCTTTAGCCAATCCCAGTCTGTCCCTTTGAGCCAATCGAAAATACACCGTTAGGTTTGTCCTTAATTAACACAGCCCAGCTGAGCAGCAAAAACTTATAGGAATCGATGGCTGTGAGATGCATTCTGAGGGTTGGGCAAAGGGGAACAAAATTACAAAGGAGAAGGAATACCAAGGAACAATTAGGGTGGGCAAAGGAACCTAATAATGCTCAGCCATCCTCCTGTATCTTCAGGAACCTCACTGTCCTCTCCAGTTCTGTGTTGTTCAGGTATCAGGTCGTTACTGTCTTCTGTCTTCGGTCTCTGATCTGGAAAATGCCATCACAACGTCCTCAGCACCTGTGACAACAATGGAGAGAGGAAAACGTGTGCCACAATTACTTCCTTTGAAGAACAGCGGATGGATACAGTACCCATAGCATCAATAGGAAAGGAAAGATGACAAAGAAGAGAAAGCAGTGTTTTCTTATTCTTCTGGGACTGGAACCTGAAGCAGTCGAAACATTCCAACAGGAGATTTAAAATGTTCCTTTGCAAGCCTAGGGAACTAGTTTTGTTTGGTTGGCTTTTTTTAAAAGAAAACCAAGAATTCCTTGCTTTCACAAATTTCTAAGCAACACGACTTGAAAAAAAAAAATCATAGGATTGTCACCACAGGCATGTAGAGATAATATTTTTTTTCTGGTTTCATTGCCCTGGGAACTCTGTCACTGTGCAAGAGACTTACCGAGCTGCTCTGAAGCGGGAGGAACTCAACTGTTCAATAGAACTTCTCCTGCCCTATGCATCACTGTCTTTTTAAAATGACATTCAGATATTCTTCATCTTTACACCCAGATATTCATTACTCTCTGCTTTTAAGAATAAAAATTGCTTTAATAGGCTAGCTGAATGGTTTTTGCCCTGCCCCAAATAAATCACTTAAACACCCTTTATAAACTAACACGTCCTGAAAACATTCCATTCTCCGATGGAAGTGCTGCATTTTCTTTCCAACAGAAGGCTTCCATTTGCCCACGGAACAGACACAGCCTTGCCAAGTAATGCTTTTATCCCTAGCCTGAAGGAACCTTTTCCAAAAGAATTCAGTGTGTGGACTTTCTCAGTTATTGGATTTTTTTTTTTTTCCACTGAGGCTATCAACTGTGTATAATTACGATCAAAACCCACATCACCTAAGCACAGAAAGATGTTATTACCTTCTTACAACCATCTCCAAGCCTTTGCAAACTTCAAGTGGGCATTTATAGTAGAATGGCTTGAGAATCACGTCTGAAAAAGGTTTGTAGAGAACATTCAACGCTAAGCTCTGATTCTTCAAAAAGATATCTTGAGATATTCAGAAAAAAATTGAGCTCCCTGAACTTTAACTATAGAGCATGGCCTAACAGGCACTTAAAGCAATATTTCTTCAGGACAGTATGGAAATAAAATAAAAATACAGGAGTGTCAAAGCAGTGGTTTAAATCAATATTTCAAGTCTACACAAGAACTGGAAAACAACCCTGAAGGGCTGAGTGCAGGATTTTTAATTTCTGGTAAAGCCCTGAAGTTAGATAAAAGTAAATGCTTTCTTTCATCTGTAGATCCTCTACCAGCATTTATCTAACTGATTAGAAAATACGATGAATCCTCCAGTCACTGTCTCTGTAATTTCTAAAAATTATTTCCTCCATTCAAATTATTCCAAGTGTTTAAGCGCAACAGGTGACTCACCATGACCATTGTGGCCTTCGTTAATTAATTTAGTCTGCTTGGGATAATTTTGCTTTATAAATTTTTCTTCAAAGCTTCTATTAAAGGATTAGACAACAAAGTAGGAAATGCCAAAAAGCAACACCGACTGCCTGTCCCATTCAGCTCTACAGAATTCTCTTACTGGGAGGTTTGGAAAGTTCAAATTCAGCTTGGATGGAGCATCAGCACGTAACAACTCTCCAGTCTTTTATTCAAAGCATATCAAGAAGCAGATTTCAGCTTTGTGCCCCAAGCAACTTCTGCCTATACACCTGCATACAAGGTAAAAGAAAGAGGACTAAACAATTCCTCACCTGTTACAGTTACATGAATTCCACTTCTCCGTTACCTAATTTGCTCTTTAGTTGCCATATAGAAGGAAAAGTGGCCAAAAAACAGGGGAGAAGGTTGTAAATTCCCCTAGTATCCTGAAAAACTATATCAATGCTTATGAAATGCAACTACATTTATTTTTATACACTTCACAATTTATTTGTTATACATACCCAAAGGAGGAAATACTAAGGTCCAAGCAGTAGTTTGTTTTTCGTATGTAGGACCCTGATCTTATAGAACTACATCAAAAACTGCTCTGATGCTCCCTCTTGCCAACACTCTGAAGCCCTGCAGTCATCTCCCTTTTCATCTCCTCCACAAACCGTTTTTTCCTTGATCAAAACATAAATGATAGATAGCACTAGGCTCCAGCTCTGAATTAACAACTTGCCAGGTTTTGGTTTTTTTTTTTTTGGAATGCCTAAGAACTACTAGCCTCCATAAAAAGAAGGATTTTATTTGCAAAGATTCTGAAAAACAAGTCTATGCTAAAAAGAGAAGAGAGTAATGACACTTAGAAGCATTAAACAAGCAAGGGCACCTAAAGCACCACCTTTGCCACTGTACTTCACATGCATCCGCCTTTCAAGCCGAGGAGCCTTTGCTACGCAAGCCCAGAGCAGCTGGAGTAGCCTAGCAACTGCAAAATCACAGATGACGTCGCATTTGCACAAGCGATGAGCTGGATTACTTAACAGATGCTGATTGCTTTCCTGGTGTCTCCCTTTTCTAGTCTAAATATGAAAAAAAATCCTTACAAGCATCCAAGTTTGATGCAGAAAAGGAGATTTCATCCCAGATAACCACGCAGCCCCACAAACACACAGCTCAGTATTTCTGTGCCCGTCCCGAACAATTCCAGCTTTCGGCACCGCTCCCATGCCGAGCTGAGCACACGATGAGCAGAAATTGCTTTTGGCACAGAGGGTGCTGGGAATTCTGCTGTTCATTTTGGCTTTTCACAATCAAAATAGCTATCGCTGAAGAGCAGGTTCACACTCAGACAGCTCCTGGTTTAATTTTCTAGGTCCACCTGGCACAGCTTCAATGGCAGCATCACTGTCAATACAAGCTTCTGATAACTTGTCATTTGCACGGGCTTTGAATAGGAAAAGAGAAGGGAGTACAAGAAGTACAGATTGTCTATACAACAGGAAAACAGAAAAAGCTAGATTTTAAAAGTGTTCTATTTGGAGGGGAAAAAAAAGTACAATAAAGAATACAGTGGAAAAACTGTGGAAAATGCTCAAATACCTGTAGGATTACTAAATTATTACATGCATCCTAAGGGAAGAAGTATAACAGTGGATGGAGAATGGATCTAGAATTCAAGGTTTTGGTCTTTCACACCAAACCCAACTGCACAGTCAGTATCCAGCAGCCTTGTCTTACCACCAGTGTAATTACGATAACTACAGTTTTAAAGTTACCTGAACTCAGAAACAAAGAACTAAGTGCATATATATTTTTTTTTTACCATAACACCATCAAAAAGCATGCTCCCTCTCTGACGCTCTTTAGCACTTTATAATACATAGCTTCCCATAGGGTACTTCTTAAATTAAGATGGGCAATCGTGACAAGAACCAAGGTGGGTAAACAATTCGTTAAGATTATGAATTATGTTTGAAAGGATAATCATTGGGCTGAAAAGGAGATCATGACTGCACTTTCTCAACGGTTGTCCTTTGCACCAATTTTACTTAATACTTTCATAAATGATCCTGGAACAGAAAAGCAGTCATATCCTAATGAAGTCTGACGGCAAGACAAAGCTAGAGAGTTCAGCCAAAACACCAGGGAGCTGCAAAACAACACACAGGAGCGGAGAGGAGAGCAGTGAAGACCAGAGGTGGCAAAAGGGGTTCAGTTATTCATTTCAGAAAGGAAAGAAAAAAAAATATAAAGACTGTAAGTGATGTATATCTATGTCTCATGGTTCAGTTTTAAACAAGATTAGTAAAGAGTGGATTTTACACACAATTCTGAACAGTTTTATTTCCTGCTCCCTCCTTAGTTCCTTCTGTTATTCGGTAGAACCGCCGATGTTCCCATTTGCAGGAATTACATGCTATGCAGCATTTGCGAGAGCCTCAGGCAATTGCCTTTAAAAAGGCAATCTGATCTATCAAATAAAAGATATCAAAACCTTCCAGGTAGACAAGTAAGTGGGTGGGTAACCCGAGGGCACAACACCCAACAGAACAGCATCGTGCAGCAAAGGCTCAAGCCGTTGCCGATTCCTTTCATTCCCACATTAAAGACCCGATTTTATCCTTAGTGAGGCGATACATCATTACAAAGAGGAAGATATCCTTTGTCCAAACAATAGCAGCCACACAGAAAATTCTTCCAGGCTATCAGATCTGATGCTAGCATGAAGTTGTGAGCACAGGACCATCTATTCTCACCAAAACTGAGGGTTCCCAGACAACATCAGCCCAGTCGCTTTCACCACACGTATCGCTGCCCTGAGTACTGTACCTTGTGGCCTTATTTTATATTCACTGACAACAATGTTCGTTATTCAGCACTTCTCCATTCTTCACGAGCATTATGACTCTTGACTGGGATATAACAGGCAACAGCGTTTCCCAGATCCAGACCCAGTTTGTTCGAGGGACTTGCAAGAAGGGAAGATAACTGCTCAGCTTGTGGACATGAAGGTATCTGTAATATAACAGTGCCACGACCTCCTGAAGGGCAGTAAAGTGTTTCTTAAGGTGTCCTATAGCAAAAAGGCTGGGTGACATTTGTCCAGAAAAAGGTCACCCACATCCACATTTCTCAGCACAAAAGCAGGTTCTGTTCAAGTCCCAGTCCCACAACCCAAACTATCCAGAGCTAAATGAAAGCAACCTCCCAAGCCTGCTCATTAAGCAGCTCTCCAGCTGCCTGTGCTCATGGACAAACACAAACACCTCCAGAGAAGAGAGCAGGGGTTTCGATGCGGTGAAAGGGAAGCAGGGATTGAAGTGAACAGAGCTTCTGCTGCAGTCCCACTTGGCTCCCACAACGGATGTTTTCTTTCTAATCAAGTGAAAAGAAAATGAAAAACCAGAGCACAGGTTATGAAGTTAAGCTGCACACTGCCAAAAGCCTGCCACTAGGACAATAGCACGGTGAACCATGTTTACTTTTAGCACATCCTTCGCTGAGCTTTGCACTTCCAGTAATTAATGTATAGAACAATGGGAAAGGCACACTTACACCTGACCTTCTGCCTTCTGTATGTACAACTTCTCTCCCCACAGCTGTCCCTTTGC